GCCTCTAGTTCCTCTGCTTGCTTCCTGAGTTGTAACTTCAGCTGAGCATTTTCCTCAGCTATCTTCTTTAGCTGAGTCTGTGTGTGCTGCAGAGCAACCTTCAGGTTGTCACGTTGCTCCTGAAGAGCTTTAAGATCTCTATCTAACCCCAAGCTCCTGTAAGCTTCCCTCAGGGCATCAGATTCCTCACTGGGGCTCTCTTCTAAGTTTAAGATCCCTTCAGAGCACCAGCTTCCACGTTTAAACTCATCTATTGATTCTGTAGTCAAGGAAAGTGACTTGAAGTTGGCACTGGATTCAGACCCGTAGTGAAACAGGTTTACAGGATGACTTTTAGTTGGCATTTTTGATTTAACTGCTGAGGAATAATGCTCTGTGCTGCTCTGTGTGCTCTCTGCTGTCGCCTGGTGGTGAACAAGTGGAACCTCTGATGAATAAGGCTGCACCTGCACAAAAATCACCATTTTAAGATATTTGACGAGACAAAGTCGATAGAATAACAACAATTCTTATAACAAAGAACAGTAAAGTTCCTATGCTTCCTTCAACTATGGGAAATACTGATAATTTTCACACTGCAAAACATTTTAATTAATTAACAATTAACACTGGTAGCCTGTCTAAGTTCACAAATAGGTGATAATAAGTGAATACATTAAAAACAGCAGTTTGTCTCCAAACCGGCATCAGTAAGTCGTATATGTTCTGATATTTAGCACAGTCAGACTACCTAATTAAGTTATTATTATAGTAGTATATTATAGATAAACAGACAGACAGACAGACCGTTAATATAATATTAATAATATTAAATATTAATACTAATTGGATTCTACAAACCTCTCCTGAGCAAGCCACTGATGGCTGTCCCGTGGCAGTGGAATATGAGAAAATGTTGGCAGTCCCAGAATTAACAGCCAGACTGGAGTTGGGTGTGCTGGTCTCAGGACTCAGGCATGCGGACGATTGGCTTGGTATGTGGTTAGCCGAATCCCTGAGGACCTGCTGCAGCCTTAGGTTCTCCTCTCTCAGGTGTTCAAGCTCCTCCAATAGCGAGTTCTCAGATAGTTTCAGCTGATGGATCTCTGACTTCATCTCATCCACGCTGCAGCTGAGGAAGTGGTTGCTCTCCTGGGCCTCCTGGAGCTGCTCCATTAGTCTCTTCCTCTCAGTCATCCTCTCCTCCTCTCTCTCCAGGAGTACTCTGAGATCCTCCTGCAGGCTGACAATGAATCCTTGTAACCTTGCCTCATTTGAGGACTGTTTTGTGTCACTGTTTCTTCCTCCTCCTATGCTGTTCTCTGCTTTTCCCTCATCGCCCTTTTGCCTTTCTTCTCTCTCAGTTCCAACATTTGGCTGCCATTTCTTTCGCCTCTCTTCCTTGGTCTCCTCTTCTCCTTCGCCCTCTCCCCTCATGGAAGATAGCCTGTCTTGTTCTTCCAAGCACTGCACAGTACCACCGGTGATTCGGACTGCTCTGATAGTTGACATACCAGTGGCGGCACTCACAGTCATGTCAAGTAGCTGCTTTTCTAAAGTGTAGATGCGATTCTGCAGGCTCTGCTCTCTCTCCCAGGCCAGGCTGAGCTTGTGTTGGAGTTGGGTTTTAAAGTTTTCAAAATACTGGGCCTGTCGACTCATCTCTTCCTCTTTGGCCTTCAGTTGCCTCTGACAGCGCTGCAGTCGCTCCCTCCACACTCGCTCCTCTCGCTCCTTTTCCTGAGTCTGAGAGAGACAGAACAGAATCTAGCTTAATAACATCTACATGCCTGAGCTGAACTAGTTTGTGTGCTAGTATTTGTAGTAGTAACAGTCTTAGCTGTATATGATATCTATAAGACATATATCAGCAGCTGTATTTGTTTTACTGTACAGTGGCAAACTAACTACTTTAAATAAGTTTCCATCATTCAAACTTCTTAAAGATACCTAAAAGATAAAGTGATGTAATCTCAACAAAGATGATAAAAAAAACTCTATGCTCACTATCACACTAGCATGTTGTTGTTGTTGTTTTTTTAATTTAACCTTTATTAACCAGGAAAAATAAGACTAAGAATAAAAATCTTGTTTACAAGAGTGTCCTGGCCACAAAAGAGAGCAGTACAATCATACACTTCATACACCAGACAGGCAATAAAAATAAAGCAACCAAAAATGATAAACTTCAGTGTCAATAAAAATGAATACCTTAGTGATAGTAACCGTCTAATAGGAGCTGCAAATTTGAATGTTCTTTTTCCAAATTCAGTGCAAATGTTGGTATAGACAAAAGGAATGAATCTTGGGATCTAAGACGATAACCTCTACACTTTTTTGACTTTTTTGAATCTGTAGGTAAAAAAACAGTATATAACAGTGGCTGAGTCATGTAGTATGTATCTGTTTTGACCAAATAAATGCATAAGTAAGTAAGTAAAACTTTATTTATATAGCACCTTTCAAGATAAAAATCACAAAGTGCTTCACAGAAGCTAAAACCTAAAAATATTTTTAGGTTTAGCATAAAAATGGCCTGTAAGTGAATTTATGTGACTACTACTAAGATATGTATAAAGTATATAAAGTGTGCTACTTGCAAAATATATTATAGCAGTAAAAGTGTTAAACTATGAACAACCCAGCCTTTAAAACTTTGCATTTAATGGGAGTTCATTGTTTTCATAGGTAAAATCTGATATTATTTTGTCTATCCCCAGTAAACTGCACAAGCCTCTCATTCATATCTGAAGTACATATTACTCCCATCTTCTAAAATTTGCATATTCAAAGCTGTAAATGTATTTTATATTTTCTACATCAGTGACCCACTGAATCTCTCAGACAGCACTCACCATGGTCCTGACCTCTCCCCTGAGCATGTGGAGTCTCTGGTCCAGCCTCTGGGAGTGATGCATGTTGGTGAACTGAGAGGCGGACGCTAGCTGATATAGCTGCAGCAGGAGGCTCCTCTCTGACGTCTCCAACTCTCTGATCCTTATCAAATAGCAAAACAAGATCGCATTACGTCATCTTAACACCGTATAATATCATATAAATGAGCTTTTAAACGTTAAACTGTCTCTGATTAAAAATAAATTCATTCAGTTTTATCTCCTAACATGGCAGTAGATGCAGTGAGTAGTTTTCAGAGGTGCACTCTCAAGCTTGCATGCAGTGCAGTCAGGTGTGTGTGATACGTGATATTATGTCGGCCAAAAGTGAGCGTACGGTAGCAGATGTGTGTGTCACTGGATCCCCTCTCACCCAGTCTCTCACCTGTTCCTCAGGTAGCTCTCAGGCTGGATGGCTGAAACCGCTCTCTGCTCCAGGTCCTCCACTCGATCACGCAGCACACGCAGGTCCACATCAGCTCCTACAGAGTCCTTTACCATGGCAACTGAAGTGCATCCGGTACCTGCTGAGTCTGACGAGGTCATGTGATCCTCCATTGGGTCAGCTTATTCCCACTTAGTTAATTTCACCTGCAGCACAAGAACTGCCGGTGTCAAACTCAATTCTTAAAAAAACTAAAACTCATACACGTTTTCATACATTCATTTGGGCAGCTTGTATGTTTCCAGTTAACAACTCTGTCGCATTTGTACAGACTATAACTAAGACAAACACAGACACGCACAATAAAGATACATGCACTTAAAATACAGTCATGTATTATTCACACTGTCAACAGCCTGGAAGCAAGTTGTTGGACACACAATAATCTATCAGGTTACGCCTCCTTCTAATCATCCACTCCCATCCTGCACCTCCTACTGTACCACACTGGACAAACATACAAAAGTTTTATGTCATGCAATCACTTCAGTTCAACAGTTTGTGTCTGCACTGATGATTGCTCCTGGACATAGTGTGCGTTGAGTAATATCGTTGATTGAATATTGTTTGAAGATATATATGAAAAAACGTGAACCTAAACGTTTCGAGGAACGGTCCACTCCAAAAATTAAACAAGCACCAATTTTTCTCTTTTGCTTGTAGTGTTTTTTATTTATCTATTGTTTTGCTCTGAGTTATCCTGGCTTGGAAGTATCAGCTATGGAGATTCGTGGCACCTCTTAAATATGATGGAAACAGAGATTTCGTGGTAAAAAAGTACATTTGCTAAATATCTCTATTGCAGAAATCATGATTGCAATGCTAAAAAGACATCTACAAACCAGATTCATATTGAAAGTCCTTAATACCAAAAAGGAGGTGCAGAAAGTAGCATGCAACTACCCGTGACACGAGGTTTCTGCTTATAGCACCGTGACAGGATGTAAACATTAACGGTGTCCCACTCAGCTGAACCGTTATGGTAGCTATTTGCATGCCCCTTCCACCTGGCAGTGTATTAGTTTAGCTCAAAAAAGACTTCCTACTTGAAACTATTCACGAAAAGGTTTTTGAGATTTCTGGCAATCAAGTGTGGCAAATGTGTAACAGTGCAATTACTTAAATCAGTGGTAGTGTTATTAGAAATTCAATCATTTACAGACTTCTTGTAATCTAAAAATAGACACTAAACAAAGTCACAAAACCTTAATCGAAGCCATCCTTGGTGACAAATTTGCAAAGGAGTATTTCTGAAAGGTGAAGTGAAACAACAAACCTGTTTTTGCGTTTTCACCGTTCGTTCCTTTTCAGTGCGTCAAGAAACCTCGAAATAGTTCAGCTCCTGCTCTGCGAACTTAGACGCACTGCTGTTTCCTTAGAAACGGCACAGACGTTGGACTTTGCCAAAATCCTCCATATCCAGTTGGCGCTCAGCTTGTTCACCCTGTCAGTCAGCCTTGTGCTTTCATTCTTCTTCTCTTCTCTCCATTTGTCCCCTTCCATTGTCCTGCTTGGCATTCCTTCAGCTGAGGCTGTGGCTATTCTTGCGTTTGTAAATCGTCTGATTCAGATTTTTCCCTCGTTAAATCAAAGTGTTTGCTTTACAGAGGAGTTGGGGTTTTATGTTCCAGGTCCAAGGATCACTATAACAGATGTTACTTATAAATAAATCTCACTTTTTTCTCATGTATATCTGGTTATTTATTAAATTTTCAAATATGTTTGCATTCCAGTCTTCTGCAAAAGTGCACATTTATCAAAAAGGCCATAAGGTTTAGTTGAACTGTCTACAAATGCATAAAAAACAATTAGGTTTTGTCTCATCTTCGCTCGCCACCACAGCACCTTAACACCTAAGAAAAAGAAAAGAAAATTTGAACTCTTTCCTAAGAATTATTGGCAGGCATCAAAACTGTGCCGAATTCTAGTAATAGACAGTTACTTCTACCTGATGTGGGTCCATGGGCATTTTCATTAAGGCCAAAGAATAAATGCTAAAGAGAAAAATAAAAAGAGGAACAAAAACTAAAGGAACACAAGAGGTTTAATCAACAGGTGAGGAAAGAGAGAGAAGAAAAAAGTGACAAAGAGTTTAGAAAACACCACCGCACAGAAGATGTCATTGATACCTTGCACTAATAAAAAAAACAAGTCAAATTTGAGTGTGTACCTTTTCCTCTATTTCCTTTATTTGTCTCTTTTGCAAGTCAATCCTGTCCTCCAGCTCTCTTATTCTCTGCAACAAAAAGACACAAGTGGTTAGCTCGTGGCCACGCGAAACACATCTGATTGATTCTGACACAATCATTTCCTCAGGTGCAACAACATTTCATTTCATTTCTTTATTTGTTTCACACATGGTTCAACAGTTAAGTTAGACTGCTATCAATCTATTCCTGCAGACACTCCAAATAGTCTTCTGACTTTCCCATCACGCCATACTGTCTCCATGGCAGCTGTTGGAATGAGCTGCCATGGCAACTGAAGAGGAGATTTAACAGTGACACTGTTTGAGACTTAAAAGCTGAGTGGTTTCATCAGTGACTCGGTTCTTTGTTCCTAACATATTAGTTTAAATAGCTTTCCACTGTGAGTGCTCACTAGACAGTACATAAATACAACTGAGGCAGGCAGGCATATTTTAAAACAAAAACATGACATTTTGAAGTTAATATCCTGCGCAGCAAATCAATCTGAGGTTGAGGTGAATGCTCCAGTTAAATATCACTTCTTAACTACAGAGAAATTGGAACGAGTGTTAATATAAGCCTCACTGTGGGGACTTATTTATAATAATAACTGTGGGGAGTTATTATTATAAAATATATCATAAATTAAATCAGATGCATTTCTCGGACCTGCAAACATGTTGATTTCTAATCGGTTCAGTAGTTTGAGCATATTAATTAGTAAATACATTAAAAATGTGCAGTAAGTACGGTTAGAGGATATTTTGTTAGTGAGTTAGAGTACATGTAGTGTCATGTAGTCAATGGATAACACAATGCCAAAAGCCATGGGTAAAGTATCGAAAGGGCTGCTGAGTGGAGGGATACTGAAGGAGTCGGGGGATTCAGATCACAATGAAACACACAAACACTCACACAAATCCAAGGTCATTCTGTCTCATCTTTCCACTCTTCCATTTTTACATATGCACTTACAGATAGAGTTACAGGTAGCACGTACAGGGATACTGCATCTTTTTCAAAGCACCAGAGATCTGGTGGGGTTAGAAGTTCCAGACAGGTACCAGGGGTCAGATTCAGGGAGGGCAGGACTCAACAACCTGACTGGGTTTGTTTTGAGCCTTACCTGCTGGGCCTGCTGTAGGAGCTCCATGCGCTCCTGTAAGATTTGACTGTCATACTGCCGGCTCTGCCGGAGAATCTGACGCCGCAGCTTGTCCACGGCTAGCCTCAGCTCCTCCCTCTGCCTGTCTGTCAGCGACTCAGCCACCGCCTGGCATGCCGGCTGCTCCTGCTGCAGAGCGCTATACAGCGTGGCCTCCAACTCCTCGATCCTCTGCACAGCCAGCCACATATACACACATACATGTATACACCCACACATACACACACGGACGTGCACATGCACATGCAGGAACGCACACAGGCATGCACAAGCACAAACAAGGGAATACACATATGCACACAAACACACAGACACATACACGCAACACTGTGACCATGGCAGATATGGGGAACACTTTTCCACTTTACATTGAGGGCTATTCAACCTTGGTTTTTACATGGTCACTTGATTTGGTTAGCAACACAAACTGTGCTTTTCTTTACACATTGTTCAAACAACAAATTCCAAGTAAGAACCAAGATCTGCCCAACACAATATCAAGTGGGACTATAAACACAAACCAACACCAAAACTGACCAAGTAAAATGGTTAGAATTATATGGCGAATGATCTAAGTGTTAACTTCTGTTATCTGGCTTCAGTCTAGTTAAATCAGTGGAAGTGGAGAATGCTTTAAGATTCATGCTTTTAAAATATATAATTAAAACCTTATTATTAAACTCACTCTTTTAACTTTCTCCTGAGCAACTCTAAATAGGATATTCATAAATGAATCATATCATACTTTCTCAAATCAAGAGAGAGTAAATCTGATCAAGGTTTAGGTCATAAACAAGTGGCCGTGTATCCCGGCCAACTGAGTGGCTAAGATTATCAAAATAATTTAGACTTCAGTGGTAAAAGATGCAGTATCCCAACGCAATGTAGCAAATTTTACCTTGATGGAGCATGTTGCATTTGTGATGGTTAACAGGGTCCTAGATGTTTATCTCATGCTGAAATGATAATGCTGCACCCCTGCATTCCTGAATTACTTTATCATCAGCCATTATAAGTAAAAATATACACAATGGTAAGCAGTAGATATGTCTGTGTTTATATGCAGGTAAAAGCACGCTGCGTATTATTGCTCCAAGCTTCGTACCATGTAGGCTTGGTCCAAGGCCTGCTTCCTGTAGTCCAACTCCTCCTCAAGGAATCCTTTCTGCTTACTAAACAGCTCCTGCAATAAGATGTTAGAATCTATAATGCAGGGCTTGGTAGAAGGTAGCATGTTGTACATAGTAGTATAGTTATAATTACGTATTAGTCTTGATAAGTTCTTTGACATAATAACAACAGGAGACTATAATATTAACACACTGCTTTGAATATATTGTAGAAAGCTGAATTTTATGCATTTGTAAATAAGTTTCTCACCTTGTCATTTTCCAAGTCGATCATCTTCTGCGTGAGGGCAGCCTCAGTGCTGTCTATCTGCTTCAACCACTGCAGATGAAGACACAGAAAGGTGTGGGATTCACATTTTGCTTCTATAAGATTCATCTAAATCGTAACCGTAGCTTGCCTCCACCAGTGTGTGAATGCGAGAGTGAATGAATAGTGGCATTGTAAAGCGCTTTGGGTGCCTTGAAAAGCGCTATATAAATCCAATCCATTAATATTATTATTATTATAAATTAAACAAAAATGAGTTAAATGAAATGTCCGTCTTTATCTTCTTCTTTTCTATCTCACCCCTTCTCTAGCATCTTCTTCTGTTGCACTGACCTTCTGCATATCCTCCTTCACCACCTCCATGACTCTTCTATGTGGTCATTCTCATTTATTTCGTGCCTGGCAGCTCGATCTTTATCATCCTTTTGTCCAATATATCAATCTGCCCATGTCGAAATCATCTCAAGTTTGCCACTCTTACGGTGTCTTCCAATCATAGCAGAGCTCACAACAATCTGTTTTACTCTTGCTGCTATTCTTCTCTCACAAATCCCCCCTGACACTCAACTCCACCCACAACACTCTATCTGCACTCTCACCTTCACCTTGTGCACTGTCCATTGCTCGGGATGTTTAACCCAACCAAGGGGTGTGGCACAAACCAATGTACTCTTAGTACCAGCCCCATGCCTGGATAAATGGGGAGGGCTGCATCAGTGAGGGCATCCAGCATAAAATCCTTGCTATATTAAATATGCAGGCTTGAATGAAATGGATTTGCTGTGGTAACAGGGTGTTATAGCAATGTTTGTCCACTGTGTGTCAGTAAAGAGAAACTTTCCACTCACCTTTTCACAGAGTGAGATCACAGTCCCCGCTTGGATCACAGCCACCTGCTCTTCATTTCTGAGATTCTTTAGAAAATACAACATCGACAAAGACTCATTAGAAATTATAAGACTAAAGTGATTTTTTTACAGAGGCTTTTGGAGCTAAAGTTAAACTAACAGTGGGTTCGAACTCACCCCATTATCTCCCAGAATATCCAACTTCTTCATCAGTTCAGGAATGATTACATCCTGCACAAACCCCCAAAACCAAATCATCAAGGCTGTTATATTAACTGTGCAGGTATTCAAGAAAGCATATAGAAAAAAGGTTCTAGTTTGTTTGTTTTTTACTAGTGCATTCACCTTGACTCCCTCCTGGTGGCAGTAGCCTTGCAGGGCACTGCTACTGTTCTCAGGGAACGCAGACATGTGGAGATTGAGGGCAGGTGATCTGCGCTCCCTTTCCTATGTATGCAAACAATGTGTTAATATTCACACATAATGTCAGCTATGCAATTATTCATTGTACCACGGGCAGTTCTGATCAACAAAAGGAAAAATAAATGGTGGTGTAAGTCAATGACACTATGCAAAATGGCAGGGAATGAGGGATTTACTTACATGACAATGACAACATGATCAGGATCTGCCAAATGAGGGCGGTGAAAACCGATGGAAAAGGGATCAAAGAAACCAAGCCAACAGAATAACATGCTGAAACTCTAAATTAAGCCAGTGACGTGTCATTTTCCAACATTGAGATACAACTGCTATTTAAACTGATGGAGAGTGGACTCCATCAGGGTGATGGGACTTTAGAAATAAAAAATATCATCTTAATAGTATGGTATGCAAATTCTTTTTTCTTTTTTTTTTTAAAAAAGGAAACAAAAGCATAATTCCATGGGATCCGTCCTCATTTTGTTCATATACATCAACTTTCAAATTGTGAAAAATACAACAACAGAAAATTGGGATATGCATGCAAAAATGAGACAAAATGAGGAAAAATGGGAGTGGATGGTGAATTTAAATATATTTTTATTTACTTAAAAATTATATTCTTGACAAAACATTTCTTCATTGACAAAAATATTCAATTTCAGTAAAGGGTAAGGTACACAGCTGCCATGCAAAACAAGGAAACACAGATGCATACAGTGACGAACTGAGCAGTGTGTTTAAGGCTATGTCTGTCTGTCTGATGAGTCACTGTATATAGGTCTTGCGTCTGGAGCTGAGATTGTTGTTGTCACCTCCTGGTGACAGTATGATGTTGGCACAGTCTCTTACTTCCAGTTCAAGGACTCTGAATTCCAGCAGCTCATTTTGGTCCCGAGCATCCTGAACCTCAGCTTGCAGCCGGGACTCCGCCTGCTGCAGCGCACTCATCTGCAAACACAACAGATTCGTTACACGTACTAAACACTATGAAATGTTTCAAAGTCTTGTAAGTCAATATTGAGGACAGTGTCCAGGATGCCAAAAGTCTGTTCACTGTGCACAATATGTAATAGACTGTATAAAGAAGATGGACAAAGCCACTCTAGCTGCAATGCTTTGTCAGTTTCTTGCAATTTTGAAACCATATATAAAAATTGTGAGTGAATCTGACTGTGAAACTGAGAGGCACTGCACACTTGTACTGGCATCAATCAAATAGGCCCACTCTTACAAATAATATGTTTGAGGCTTATTTTCTTATTTTAATGTGGGCCAAAGTTTTGCAAAAGAACATAATTTTATATTAAAATAATTACCTAGTGATTAAGTCCATAATATCATCTGGAAATTGTTAACTTAGATCACTGATCAAGTGAGCTGAGGGTTATTTCCAATCGACTTCTATAAAGCCTGACTTATTTTTTGAGCCAAAGGATCTGCCCCCTCCTGGCCATTAGACAGAATGCAGACTTAAGGAACTGCATTGACTTTGCTTTCTGTGTCTATAACTACAAACTTTACAGCACATCTTTACAGCTGTTACTCTCATGCATACATTTTAAATTGTGTATTTACTTTTAGTTATCTTATAAATGTTATCAATTTTTGAATCAACTGAGAGTTACATAGATAATTATCTTTTAAACAGGTACATTAACTAACTCTGTCACTATTTTATCAGTAAAAGTTTTTATTCTGCTTATGTTTATACAAAATATAACGTTTTCAGAGGTGGTTAATAAAGAACACATCTGATCATGAAAATCAGGTATTACAACTAGTACTGAATACCTTGATATAGAAGGCTAATCTAATGTACCTTCTCACGCAGTTCCTGGTTGGTCCTGAGCAAGTACTGCTTCTCCTCTACCCACTTTGAATCCTGCCATAACAACCAAACACAACATGAGCGAGAAATGACACTGGCAGGAACAGAAGAGGATTTAAAGGATCTGCAATGACATAGTGTGATGAACAAAACTCCCATCCCTCAAACTAGCAGCTTAAAAGACACAAGCAAATGCAACACAGACACAAAAACGATTGCACAGGGTGGCAGGAGCACAAGTTTATTGATGCAGACAAATGAAGCCCAATCAGATAACCAAAGCAAAAGAGCTGCAATCACAGGCAACAAGAGTTCACAGCAAGATGAGGACCAAATGGCAATCTGAGATGAAAAACAGCAGCAAAGCGAGTCAGAATACCAGCTGGATCAAGCCACAGTGGAACAGGCAACGTGCAGTAACTCAATGAAATGCTTCACAAAAAAGTAAACAAAGTGTCCTGATATGAACTCAGCATGATAAATTCAGTGATCCTCTCACTACTTTCTTTAAGCAAAAAAAGGCCAGAGGCTACACATCCAGTGGTTTGGCTTACTTCTCAGACCAAGATGCCTTTCGTACACATCAAATAACCAAAATCAAGTTGTATTAAGTGAGTATTTTCATGTTTTAACAGAAAGTTATATACTACCACATGAAGATCTTATGTGTTAATCTATACAAAGCTAAAATGAATCAAGATGGTTGAAGTGTTTTATCTGTGATGAGTAACTCAGACACAAGTATCTAAAATAAAACACCATCATCGGTAAGGGTAGGCAGAGGGTGAAGGAGAGAATGCAGGCACAGCACTGACATCACACATGCAGGAAGTGACATCACAGGAATCTGCGGCAGACCTGGTCAGCAAAGCGCCAGCCAAGGAGCACAGCAGCCAGACAGACATGCAGGAGGCCCAGTGAGAGCAGGACCAGTGAGCTTCTGTCCCCATCCACTGTCTTTATTACCTGCCCCCGCTCAGCCAGGGCCTTCTCCAGATCCACGATCTTTGCCTGGCAGCTGCTGAGCTCCACCTGCAGCTGCTCACGGGTCTGTGGGTGGGGAAATGAGCCATCAGAGACTTAAATCCAAGTACAAAAGGAATGAACAGAGCAGACTGAGAAAACCATAATGAGGATCTATGCTCTAAATATTTTCTTGAATTGGAAGTTAGACTTGTACGTAGCACATTTGGAAGGTGGCAGCAGATACGAACCCTGGCCTCCCTTTCTGCATCCAGAGACCCCCCAGTCTGCTCCTGCAGGAGAGCGTAGGCCCGCTGAAGAGCCTGGTACTCTCTAGTGAGCTGACGAAAACGAAGCTCTGACTCCTCACGGGAAACGCTCTGCGATATCAAAGAGCGAATGTGTCAAATTAACACATAAAGCTTCACCCTTTACTTTTTCATAATCACATATATTAATCTGTAAATTACTGTTAACGTTCCATCTTACTTTCTTCTGATTTATTAACTCAGGAATTATTTTCCACATCTTGCAGCTGTTTAAGATGTTAAGATATTTCTTTCAGTGGACACAAAAGGACTTTCCTACCTCTTCCAAGTCCTCCTCTGGAGTTGCAGGCGTGCGGTCAGTGAGGTCAGTGTTATAAGAGGTCAGTGAGGAGGTTTCAGAGTCTATCGACTCCTCATCAAATCCAAAATATGTCTCCACAACATGCCTCTGCAGAGAGCAGTGGAGGGGGGAAAAGGGTTAAATCAACCTCAGCTCTACACATATCTTATTCTGCGTATCAGCAGTTGGAAACAAAAACAATTATTATCCAGAACTATACTGCATCTGATTTCAGCTTAGAAAACTTTTAAACCAAATATTGATGTCATCAAACCCAAAAGAAATCCAATTACTTTTGCAAAGTAAGAGGAAAAATGACTAAAAGTTCAAACTTTCAAAATCTAGACCCTGTCATTCAGTCAGTAATCTCATTTTAAACAACTTAGACTGAATGACTGCACTGACTGTTTACTTTTTTTTTTTGCTTTTAACTTTTCCAGACTCCAAAGTGCTTACCATCATGTTTATAAGTCATTTCCTGGCAACCAGAGAAATAAAGGCAGACCAGGGCACACAGGCAAATGAAAGAAGAGAAATAGAGGATAAAGAGGATGTACTCTGTCATGTTGCTGCCAGACCAAACAGTAAACTACAAATAATATCTTAAATATACATCTATCATATCTTCAAAAACACCAGTAGATCGAAAAACTGAAGTGCAGCCTATAAAGTACAACAGCTTTTTTTGTCACTCCTAAACAAAATCTAAAAAGCCGACAACAAAGCCTCTGGTTACAATCAAACTCATACGAAAAAAAATGGTCAGCGTCTGGGTTTGTCCTAGAAAGGAAAGCCAAATTTCCAGGTGCAAGTCCAAAAGCCAAGCTGCTGTGCCCCAATTCAGTGCTGAACCTGCCAAGCTAACAAACTGGTTCCAGGAAGAGAGGAGGAAGAAAATAAATGTCATGCATCTACAAACTCCTCCTCCTAGCAACATCGCAGACTCTAAAATGTCCCCTGATGTATTAGCCCAAACATGCACACACATGTACTTAGCAATTATTTCTTTCAAACTCTGTCACGTCAGCCAATTAGATATCGTCATCCCTTTAAGCCCTTTTGCACAGATAAAAGCATGAAATGCTGCACACAGCTTGCAGTTTCTAGTAACACTATCTAATAAAGGCCAAAAATATACTCACATAAAAAAATCTATAATAAAAAAACCCCAAAACAAATAATTCTCAACTAGCTGCGTGTGTGCTCACTGTGATGGTCCCAGCAGTGAGGGATGGTGTTATAATTGTCCCCTGAGCCCAATTAAACACAAGCACACAAGTGAAAACAATGCTCAAGGATCAGTCAACCACAGATAGGGAAGGTGCTTAGTTACACACCACTGGATTAACAGATGTGTAAAAACACTGATGAAAACTCACTTTCGGCAGCTTGAACGGTTTCTTCCTGTTCTTTTTGCTCATCACCAATCGATCACGTTCCTAAAGACACAACAGATGAACATTTTTAAATTCTGACCTTTAAGAGAGCAATCGGAGGCATCTATGGCGGCACGGGATTCACATTGATCAATCAAAACGTTACCTGCCATCAGCATAAAATGTTTTGTTCAGCAGAGTCTAATTTAGTTACATTTCTTTTCTATATTTCAAATTAAATAAAGTCACAGCATTAAACTGTAAATTCGAGAATTTAGCAGCTTCTAATAACTCAAGCTGTCAGACTGACAGTGTCAGTGAATGTAAAGAAGATAAGAGGGGAAACATAGGCAAAAACTAAAGACTAGGCCATTCTTCTCAAGGTTTTTTGTTGTTTTTTTTTTAAATATAATCATTGATCCTTCTGACATGTATACATGACATGCTGACATGTGTTGCTCCCCTGATCCAGAGGGGTCAAAAACACAGAGAGAAGCACAACTTCAGGGTTAGTACTGTCACAATAAACGTCCCCCTTCTAGCCATGGCAATGCAGCTGATTTTATTATGTATTTGTATATTGTTATTGGCACACTTTTTAAAAAATCCACTGACATATTATGGATAAAATATAAAGACAAAAACCTTTATACGCTTCCACACATGAAAAATGATATTATCATTTGCAGAGCCAGAACTGTTTGCTGATTTGTTGGCATCGGGACTCAATATAGGCCGATTAATTTAAAAAGTAAAGACGGGACAGAAGAGCAATGTGGAGTGCTGATGTTGCACAGTTTGTACACCAGAGGGCAAGTTGACTGTGGGAAATAAAAATGCTTGGAACAGGTTTAACATAGCAACCAGCTGATCCAAACAGAACAAGCAGAGCTTAAATGAGTAAATAAATAACTACAGATAAGAAATATTATGTAAATCTGTTCATGTTTCATGTGTCTGAAAGAAAAAGAAAAAAAAAGATTTTCAGCTGATATAATGGAATATACGATTTTAAATCACTGAATATCAATATCGTTACTTCTCTTAATACTCCTGCATTTGTCGGGGTCTAATATTATAGCTACAATAATAATCTTGTGCCATAATGTATTGCCAATACATTAAGAGATATTATAGTGAGAGCTATCTAAAAACATCTAACAGACGAGCTGACAGAGTAATGTTATCTGAGTATATACTGTTGTATGACCTTATGTGTTAACAGGCATGTAACCCTGTCCTGACCTGCGTGAGCTCATCAATGATGCCGCGTTGCTCAGCAACTTGCAGCTTGAGGAACTCTACTTCCTGTTCCTCATGGGCGTGGGTCAGGTCGGTCAGGGAGCTTGGTCGCTTCATCTGGGCCTGAACGGACTGCTGCTGTGATGGTGGCCGAGAGGAGGAAGCTTTCTCCTTCTGTAGGAGGAAAACAGACGGAGACAAGACTAATTATTTTTCATGCTATTCATCAAATGACCAGCAGAGGTCCTCTTTCCTTCAGAGAGCCCTAAAAACCATAAAACGTCTTGACTAGACTAGATAAAACTATAATATCTACTACATCCTATTACTACTTTTTGATTTTATCTTCGGGTATTAAAAAAAGAGGGAGTTAAGAGTCACCAGCAGATGTTTAGGAAGACATGTTGGTTGCACTTACCATCTCAGCATTCTCACGGCTCAGGTTCTTGAGTTTCTCCTCCATGCGCTGCAGTGTTTGCAGGAGGTCATCATTTTTCTTGGACAGCCGCTTATTCTTCTCAAACATGGGCTTCATTTGGCTCTCTGCCTCTCGCACCCGTTTCAACTGAACAGAGGAAGGAAACAGGGAGGGGGACGTTGTAATCTTAAGTGTCGCCACAGAATTTCCAGCTTGACTAGGACAGTCAACATCAACAGTGAGGAAGTTAGGAAATATTCGGATTCAAGTTTCTTCGACATCCATACTCTTCATGGTGTCTAAACTTATGCGAATTATAATTTAAAAAATGTTTGCATGTATAATTGTATGTTTATAATGACTGCACACGTGTGTTTCTCACTAGTTCATTCCTCTCATCGGCCAGTAGTGCATTTCTGTCCTCCAGTTTCCTGATGACTGAGTGGAGCTCTGCAATCTTCAACTGGAACCTCCTCATGTCACGCTCCTCCAACTCCTGTGAAGCCGTGGGGAGAGGAGAAGAGGAGGAGGAAGACAACAACTGAAAAAGGGAGTACATGCGGGCAGGCATGCAGGTAATGGAGACGGACAGTAAAAAGGAGGTGATGGCAAGAAAGATGATTTGGCTGTTCACAGAGTGAATGTGTATGTTAAGTACAGTAACCATGTGATTTATGAACTGGTAAATTGACTGGTACTTAAGTAATGCCTTTCTAGTCAGATGAGCACTCAAAGCACTATCTACTACATCTCTCATGCACCCAGTCACACATTTATACAGCGCTATTTATATATAATGTTTGTCTGTAAAGGCAACTTAAGTATTCCTTCAAAATTGATTTTGTGGCGTTGGCTGGAATCAGGAAAAAGCTGCAGAAACAACAACGTATATTAAATTCTCCATGTACGGCTCACAGATTCACAGATGTGCCAATTTCACTTTTTAACTCTATGGCATCTGTTATTAATATCAATATTATCAATTCCACTACAAAATCACAATTCCACTGTGATTTTTTTTATCACTTATTTTTCTTTAAAAGCTCCTCACCAGAAATACCTCACATTGTGCTTACTTTGTATAAAATTTGTAATATAAAATATAATATAAAATATCTGTAAATATGGGAAACTTTTGGAACATATAAAAATATCTTAAGCATAAAATACTGACACTTGTATACCTGGTTGTTGAGCAAGTCTGGGTTTTCTCCTAGTCCAGGCACCACTTCTCTCTTCGGGCTGCCATGGTTGTGTCTCTCGGCTTCTCGTACCTGACCCAGCTGCTCATCCAGGGCTTCCTTTTGGAGCTGAAGCTTCTGGGCATAGCCAGCCTGTAACCCCAGCTCCCTCTCCAGAGCGCACACCACCCGGTCCTTTGCCTTCAACTCATCCATCTAAAGGAGTGAAACAGAACTAGATTATAGTCGTTATAAGGAGTTAGTAAATAGGTTTTACGTTTAACTGAAGTCCTTAATATTTTATTTTTAAGACCTTTTCCAGTCTTTTCTTTTTCTATTACTCATGTTATTTATTTTTATTTTACTAGTTTATTAATGTTTTTTTTTTCTGTTTACACTTTATTGTCCCTCCACTGCGGTTATACCAGAATGAATCAAAAGGGGAACCCTCTCACTCACCACACATCACAAACTCACATGTAAACCACCTCTCAACTCTCATTTATCATCTTTATCTAAGCAGCTGGAGTCCATCTCTTGTCTTATTCTGTCTGGTCTTATTTTTCAAAATAAAGCACTGAAAATATTGTTCTTATTGTCTACAAAAGTGCAGAGATTTCTGAGAAGCAGCAGAAAACTCAGCTTCGATTAAATCTAATCATTTCACTCGTTTCACCTCCAATATGTGAATATTAGTTCATATGTACAATGTTCTTCTTTATAATTTATGTATGTACATTGTGCACTGCTTCAGTGTAAGATGGCGTTTGCTGAAAGCTGAACAGGAGACTAACAGTGTTTTTGCTTTTGTAACACTCTGCTTTAGGTTTGATTAATTTATAAGCCTCTGTTCTTGCTCTGCATTCATGCAACCCCTCCTGACAGTTGTTACCACCTCTACTTCCCTCCGTATTTTGTTCTTTAACGCCGGTATTTCCTGCACCGCCTGCTCCCCATCAATAAGCCGTGCTTTACTCTTTGAGTTTCCTCACTCAAGCATTCCTTTACTAACAACAACGCCTGTTACTGTAGCCCTCCTGTATGTAATAGGGTAAATCAGTAACTGCAGCAGGTACACAGACATTTATACTTGCAGATAGCACCACATGGTCAAGACAGACATTGCGGCAATTAGCTCCTAACCTTCATGCTACATCAGTGAGATAAGCCCCGAGCTGGAAGTGAACTTTAGTAGAAGGAAACCAATCTGTGTAATCTGTGTCTGTGTGTGTGTGTGGGTGGGTGTGTGAATGTGTGTGTTATTCAAATATGATCTGGACAGACGGGGACTACAGAGTTAACAGCTGCTGGGTTCGTGAAGCTAATCTATCACAGGCATAACATGCTTAGTTTATGATGCAGTGTAAGATGTGTCTGCTTATTGCACACAGTACACCTCCCTGTTTTTGCACTTCACTAATAATTAGCTCCTTGTGATGCACATAAAGAGGCACGTTTAATCTCCAACTATAAAATCAGTGATAACAGGGAGGACTGTTACACTTTTAATGCCCCAATAACACTTTCTTAATCAGCTTCTTAGCAACAGAGCACAACATAAACCTCTATTTACCTGAAAAAAAAAGTTAAAGCTTATGTAAAGGTAGATTTTTGTGCCTGTGTGTCTTTAAACCAACAGGATTTAAAAACAATGAGGAAAGTTGTGAGGCCGATCTGCTCTGGTTTTTTAGTATTTAATACTTAAGGGTGATTATTTATTGCTTATTTAATCAGGAATAATGGAGTTATTTGATTAATACTGGGCTTTGTGATTATGATGTTGCCAATTGAAATTCAATTTAAAGTTAAACTTAATTCATCTTGGCTTGACAGTTAAGTGGATTCTGATAAATTACTTTTAGAAAATACTTTTTGTCACCAGCAAATATACCTTCACCAGGCTTATTATTTACGTGTTCTCACCAGCCGGCGGATGTCTTTCTCACAGTCGCGTTTAATGCGGTGCACCTCGTCCTGGTGCTGTTGGTAGGCTGTGCGGAGATCAGCTGCTTTGGCTTTATCAGCCTGAAGAGCGTTTGCATGAGCCTCTTCGGCTTGCTTCCGAGCCATTTTCTGCTCCTGAATCTGAAATGGCCCGATGCGCACATTTTAAGATTTATATACACAAAAACAACAAAAAGAACATCAGCTGTGCATTTGTAAATACTTGCCCTTGTCCTATTAATAAGTTTAATTACAGATCTAGGCATCTAGGTAGGCTACAGTGAAACAATAGGTTGGCAACAGGCTTTTCCACCCTGCTTCCTGTTTTTCAGGACCAAATTACAAAAGTGTGCATAGTCCCACAAAAACACAGACACACACACACACACACACACACACACATACATACACAAAAAGGGTGTTTAAACACAAAGTGCACTCGAAAATCAAGTCTGCAATACTCATTTTACAACTTTGTTAGATCATCATATACCCTATACATGTTCTACTTTCCACGATCTGACATGTGAAAAAGTTATACTTGTCACCCCTGTACCTACTAAAACCTACCTCCTGCTGGAGCTTAATTCTCTCCCCATCAAAGGCTCTCCTGGCTTCCTCCCTAGCCTCTGCAAGAAGGGCATTTTTGAGCTTGTCAGCAGCTCCATCTCTCAGTGCATTCACAAGACCCTGCAGCCTCTGAACCTCAGTATCCCTGATCTTGATTGTTCTAGCCAGCTCGGCTTCATGCTGCCGTGCCAGAGTCTCCCGTATGGCAGCGATTTCACGTAGCTTTTCTTCATGGAGTTTGGCACGCAGGTCAGTGAGCGCTACCGCATGCTTGTGTTGCTCAAGTTCGCGAGCCTGCCGCTGCTCCTGGAGCCGCTCGCGGAGTTTGCATACCTGACAGAAGAACATAATGCAGAATATAGATTAGAGTACCCCTAACAAGTAGCCATCAGTATTTAAATAAAGTTTGTCCTGACTCTATTGTGCATATTTCCATATTTTTACTCTAAGTCCTGGCAGACTAAAACAAACTAGCCACGAGGGATGGAGAGATAAGCACAGAGGAGGTTTGTGTGTCAGTGAGCAGACTGGAGTAATAAACTGCCCGGAGACCTTTTTTAAGAAAAAGAAAAAAAAGAAGTATATGTATTCTGTTGCCTCACAGCAACAGAATAGCCAAACTGCACGCCAGGTAACCCTACTGTCCTATTAGAGATATTGCTTCTTTATAAGTGTGCTTACATGCTTTTAAACATTGGTTGCAAATAATTTATAAATAAAACTGGCAGCCATTTCTATCCTCTGTTTCTGCTGAGTTGGTGAAATAGGGGACGACTTCTCAACCACATTTATTAACTTTAAACGCATGTTCTCAGCTTCTTCCACCTCCTATTCTTCCTCACCCTCACCTTCCCGCGCTCCTGCTGTAGCTCTATCTGAAGGTCCATGATCTTGCTCCTCAGTTCCTCATTGGTGGCCGGCACCGAATCAGCCATCACCTCCGATTTCTCCGGCTTCCGTCCCTTCTTAGACGGTTGAGCCGATGGGGGTGTGGTCGATGACATAGCACTCTAGCCGCCCAGTCGGGACGGACATAGAGTGCAGGGTGTGATAAAATTGAGGAGAAAATCAGTCGCTGCTCCTCCTCCCTACAAGGCCCTGCATCATCATCATCATCATCAGGACGTTGAAAAGTCTACATTGTTGCTAAAGGTTGCACACAGTTTCTACCTGAGAGAGAGAGACAGACAAGCAGAGAGGAAAAAAAGAAAAAGTGGAAAAAAAAGGTTGAGTCAGGGTTAAAATCTGGGTTACACAGAACTACTCAGTACAATACTCCGGGGCTAAGCAACCAAATAATGACGCAATATAGCCTGGGGAACACAGACTATTTTGGGGAATAACATTTGCACTCTCGTCTGCCACCCTTTTCTCTCCAACATATACACATGGGCCATTTATCACCATCCTGGGCTGCAGTCCCTGGGTTGTACTTAGCAGCTCCACAGTGCATGAAAAAGTGTCTGGCTATCAAAGTTTCAGCATCTCACAGTAGCCTTCTTCCTTTCTGTAGATTAAGAAATCTCTTCTTTGCTTTCACGAGTCTTCAGGCTGCAGATCCCATAAATCTTTCCTACCTGTTTTAAACTAATGACATATCACTACTTTTTCATCACTAAGATGACTATTAGCAAAACACTCACACAGTGCTCTAATGGCGTTACAATTCACTAATTTCACCTCGTCCATGTCTGCCTTTCTATTGCTTTCTTCTTGTCTTCCCATTATTGAATAGATTATTGTTTTAAGCAGATATCTTCTTCATGTTGTCTTGCCAAATATAGGCAGAAGCTGCTTGCATTACTGTCATTTGATTCCTCCGCTATATTCACAGCACAATATAAGAGCAACATTTGCCTCAAAGTCTCCTTTCACTCCCTAAACATACAGGATATATTAGAATAGGACAGTCACTAACATTATTTTCGGATTACAGGAGCCACAATGTCACATCTTGATTGAAAATGTGATTATTAAATAATCAAATTAGTTTTTCAAATCAAATATCACCTTTGGCTAAACTGCAAAAAAAGCGAGGCATACAGAAATAAACACCAGCGAATTTTAATTAACGACTGAATATCTCTTATACTCCTACTCACTAACCAAGGCCAGGTTACGATAGCAGCTATTTTATTTGCATATTTTGTTACAGATGTGTTACAGTGGCACACATCCTCTGAGCTGAAAGCGGACTCCTCTAATCTCTTCTCAGAGTGGATTGTAACCCAGTAACCTTCCAGTCATTCTGCTAACTATTAAATAAATAATGCAACAATGAGGAAGCTGGAGCATTAAGACCGCAGGTGCCTCCATCTTTCTCTACGTACACATTGCCCCGCATTCATACAACGTACACAGATGGCAGAAATAGTTACCAAGGCAACACTTGCTCTCAAAAACGCCTCTCATAGCAAAGGATGATGGGAAGAAGGAGCCTCATGGTGGATGTGAAAAGCATACAGTTCATTATTTGTATAGAAGCTTCAGATTTAAAAAAAGAAAAAGAAAAAAAACAGAATACGTAAGTGCATACATGGTTTTGTTATCTGGTTGCATCTTTGAGACGAGGTTGACTGAGAGACAGAAATGCGTCGATGCTGGAGGGCGAGGAAGCTTTCTTCCACATGAATTTTTACACAGTGTGCACAGTTGAATGCTGGGAACCAGTGGGGGCAGGGAGGGAAGGGAAACGGAATAACAGAGAAAAGGTGGAAGATTAAACCTACAGTAGAGGTAAAGCAGTAAAACAGGAAGGAAATTGCATACTTCTACAAAAGCAAACTAGCTCTTGCTCAACTCCCCTCTGTCCCCTTAAACTCCCCACCCCCTCTTCATCTATCCAGCCTTACATAAGGGCATGGCGATGTTACTGATCTCACACTTATTCACACAGACAGAGAAAGCAATAGAGGGAGGTCATTCACAGACAGTCTTAAACTGAACAATTAGGGACAGATACAGCTGACACATATTCACACAGCCACCAAAAGTCCTCCACCCCATTCACAATAGTAACAAACGTGTATTTATTTGCAGTAGCGCAACAGACAACTGACACACAGGCAAGTGAGGTGGAAACGTGCACGTATAATTTATGTGCAGTTTCTGTGCAAACAACAATAAATGGGTTCAGCACACTTTCTACTGTTTTCAGCATGTTTATGCATGTCAGTGTTGTTATCAAAAACCAGGTGTGCCACAGCTGAAATGGCTGAGAGGCATGACATATGGTTTCCCTGTTTTTTTCTTCTTATTCTAAGGAAGCACAGATAGACCCATAAGCACATATCACGCTTGACTGTTCGTGTACACTGAGTTAGTGTAAACAGGAAGCCGAGGGTTCGTTGCTTGTCAAAAATACTACAGAGGAAGAAGCACACGACATAAAGCGAGATCAGAGATTTCTTTGCCTCGATCAATGATGAGATGAGATTGCGTAACGTCATAGCAGCAGAAAACACAGATCTACTTATCTGCCGCTTTATTAGGTACATTTTGCTAGTACTGGCACTAGCACTGTACCCCTTCTGGCTTCAGAAATGCATACATTTTTTGTGGTATAGATTCAACAAGCTGCCAGAAACATTCCTCAGAGAATTTGGTCCATATTGGCATGATAGATCACACAGTTGCTGTAGATTTGGTAGCTAAACATCCATGATGTGAATCTCATGTTCCAGGACATCCCGAAGGTGCCGTATTAGATTGAAATCTGGTGACTGCGGAGGCCATATGAATACAGTGAACTAACTGTTCAAGAAACACGATAATGTTTGATTAGTGCTATGTGACATGGCGTGTTTTTAGTGTGCCATCCTGTTGTTATGCTGGAGGAAGCACTGTGGTCATAAAGGGATTGACATGGTCAGCAACAATATTCAGATAGCCTGTTGGATTAAAACAGTACTCAGCTGGTAGTAAGGGGCCCAAAGTGTGCCAAGAAAATATCCCTCACACCATTATACAACCATCGTTGAATCTTTCATACAAGGGACGATAGAGCCATGCTTTCATGTTGTTTATGGTAACCTGAATGTTGCAGCGGAAATCAAGATTCATGAGAACAGGCAATGTTTTTCTAACCTTCTAATGTCCACCTTTGGTGAGCCAGTAAAAACTGTAACCTCTTGATCTTAAGGAGCACCAGCCAATCCCAGAGGAAATTATGTAAAGACTACATGGTTTGGTCTTCTTCTTCTGTAGTACATATGCTTCAAAATTAAATGTGTTCTGCATTCAGAGATGCTCTTCATCACACCTTGCTTGTAACAAGGAGTTATTTGACTTCTATCAGCTATCAGCTTTAAAGCAGTCTGACTATTCTCCTCTGACGTTTGACAATAACAAGCCATTTTTGCCCAGAGGACTGCTGCTCACTGGATATTTTCTGAGCCATTCTTTGTAAATGCTGTCTGGGAAAATCCCAGTAGATTAGCAGTTTCTGAAATACTGAATTACCCACACATGGAATAATTAAAAGTTTGTGACCACAGATATGGTATTTTATATTGTTTTTGTGACTCACACAACTCAGGAAATGCAGGAAAAAAAACAGGCATCTCTGCTCAGAATTTCCAAAGGTCTGATGAACATGGTTGATGTAATAATAAACCATAAAGTGTACCTAATAAGTTGAGTATGTATCTTACAAATACTAAGCCAAGATTTCACCTGAGTCTAAAATATTTGTGCAGCAACTACAAGACATCTGCCACCCACAGTTGCCACAAAGCCTTCTGGAGCCACATCATGTTCCCAAGCTGGCAGCCAGGCGCTAAATCTCAAAGTTTTATAGATCATTGGAAGCCAGGAATGTTATATGTGAAACTGGAAAATTTTATAGGGGCACCGAGAAGCTAAGAACCACCTTTAATGTTCCCAGGAGCAAACAAAAACCAGCAAAGATCGTAGACCTTAAATTACCTCGTCCACTCTAAGTGTAAACTGTTTGTGTAGCTTACACTGTGATGGAAAAGGAAGCAAAACCCTTCAACAAGAGAATTCACCAGACAAAGTTAACAGATTTGTCTTCAATATCTATATTTAGCTAATATAAACCCACATTCATTCTGAATAAAAATGTCACTATGACTCATGACTTCAATCATAAGTTATATTTTGCAACACGTTATATAAACTGAACAATAAATCAACAAAAAACTACCTTCAAGGCCTTTTTAAGTGCAGTAAATGTAGCTCTGAGATCATCATCTTGAGCTAAATCACTATACTATAACTGCAAAAAGAAAAAAAATTCCAAATGAGGAAATGTTTTAGACTGTAAGATAATAAAATAAAAAGTAAATAAAATTAAAACTGTGTGACATGCCAAAACTTTGCAGCATCATCTTTTGGGGGAAGGGATTACCCTTACTAATTGTTATATGTGTTGTTGTGTCACTAATTATCTTCTTCTCTCTAATTACCTGCTTTATAGCTCCTAGTGACTTTGTTAAGAGTTACATTTGAATTAACCCATCCATTTAAAGCAGTGGTTCTCAAACTGTGGGGTGGGCCCCCCTGGTGGGATGTGGAGCCACTCCAGGTAAGGTGAGGATGATTACGAGAAAAAAATATGGAATTAACTGTTGAATTGAGAGTGGCAGAGTTTTAATTGTTGCCATATTGGCTTTTTTTAAAAATGGATGAGAGGGAGCAGTTCTGACTGAAAACTGCTCACTCGTTGACTTGTCAGCAAGTCGTCAGCCAATGAACCATGGATAATGCTCTTTTTTCAAACAGTATGAGCAAGATTTACAAACAGAGATCATTTTTAATTAAACATGACCCCAAATGAGTAACTGATTCTTTAGTTTTCCCATAGACTTGTATACAACAAGAAGTTCTTTTTGCAACCCCAGCTAACGCCATCTGGTGGCCTTCAGATAGAATGCAGGTTTGAAGCACTTCCGCAATAGCGTCTTTTTTTTTTTTTTTTTTCAGCCGAAAGCTACGCCCGTGTTTTATACCATCCATGGCCTTAACTCTTTTCAACTTCTGAGGTCAGGCATGCCAGAAAAAGTTTGAGAACCACAGGTTTAAAAGAAGTGTTTGGATTCCTTGGTGCATATTTGCCTTACACATGTAAGATTGCTTTGGTCTGAGATCTGGGCAAGACATAAACTTAGTCAGGTTATGTCTGGTGTAAAATCTGTGCCAAATCAATGTGGCTCCATCCACTGTGGTGACCCCAGGGGAAATAAGAGAGGAGCGGAAAGGACTTGCAATAAAGCTGTTCTCAACTGCCATATGAAAAACTAAGGTTGCAGACATATACAATTGTTTTAACATACTAATGACTTCACAACTGTCGCTTTTGTATTAATCTTTGAATTTGTTGCAATTACAGCTCGGGAGCCAATCATAATATCAGTGGTTCAATCTCAATCCCAGGTGTCAAAGTGTCCTTTGCCAAGATATGAAACCCCAATTCATCCTTTCTAGTGTCAGTGTGCATCTGACAGATAAAAAGCACTTATAGTGAAGTGCTGTATGCATGAATGTGTAACAGTAATGCACTTTAATAGTTAACTTTTTTACTTGAGCAGACATTCTGAGTGGACACAAGCTTATTACACACTAACAGATGAATCTCCTCAAAGCCAGACAGATCACCCATGCTTACCGAGGGTTAAACATTAAGTACACTTTACAGCAACATAAAGGCCCAATAAATACATAAGCAAATAGGAGCTCAAACACTGACTCCTTGTTCCTCTTTCCAAGTTTAAAAAAAAAAAATCAACACTGAGGGTGTGGACAGGCTAATATGCTGTATCTTATTTACACTGCATATTGGTTACAACACCTAGGCCTATACACAGACACACACACAGAAACAAGCCTCCTCACTGCAGTCATCAGCAGAGTGTAGCCTGTCAGAACAAGGCTGGCCATGATCCAGACACCCCTCCACAGTCTGCACACACACACACTCTGCTGTCTAGAGATTCACTTAAGATACACTGTAAAGATCCCATCGAGAGGCCGAGTAACCCAGCCAAGAGCAACACTAGTGGAGCATATGACCTAAAAGCTACTATGACAGGAGAATGACTACAAGTTACTGACCCCAATGACTAGTCAACCCAAACACACAAACAATAGTCTCTCTCTTACTGTGTCACATACACATACCTTGTACTGCTGGTTTATTGCACAGGCTCTGGTCTTTGGTGTCTATTAATGTGTTAACATAGTGTAATTATCATTGCTGACAGCTTTCAGCCTCTCTGTGTACCTCTATGAGTATGTATGCTTTTGCATGCATGGTTGCGCTTTAGCAGTGATACCCTCATCCCGCTCCAGACCGGCATTGCAACACAACAAGAATGAGGAAAGTGCAGCAGATAAGGAAAGAGAGCGTTATACACATGAGAATAACAGAGCACTGGGATTATTCTGGTAGCAGGCTGTCACTCAGCACATTACACTGAGGAAGGCAGAGATATGGAGAAAGCAATAGGATTATGAATGAAGTATTAGTGTACAAATTAAGTTATAGAAAGGGAAGGAAAGAGAGGGGGAAACAGTGACGTACACTGGGGTCCCAGGAAATGTAATTGCTAAATCTAACAGAGCAGACTAAAATATCAGTAGACAGATCTGTATTTTGCAATATGATGATACTTTAATTCCACTTTTTTGGGCTGAGTTAACCAGCTCATAAGGGAGGCATCACAATGTAGATCCCTGCTTTTGATCAAACACAAGTGAGTGTGCAACACATGCTGGGTGTCCACTCCGGCAAATTTACGAGCCTCTGGGGCCGCCTGCTACAGCAGCAGCAGCAAAACTGTTATGACAGACAGAGCCTGAGAAACACAACATGCATGGTAGTGGGCTGCCTGGGCAGAGGAATATGCCGGAGATCATGGTCTAATGCGATGTCACCGGCCCTCTAATGAGCTGTCAAATAGGAGATTAAAGGGTAGACTACCGCTGGGTGGGAGGGTTTTTACACTGCTGAAAACCTGTTTGTCCGGCTAGCCAACCACACCCCACGGCGAGAGGCTGCTGCTGCTGCTGCAGCATCATCATCATCCTCCTCCGGCCAGGACGGCTGTCCTTGCAGTCAGAGCTGCACGGTGTTATGTGTTGATGTTTTTTCAGCAAACACGGCCACGGTGCTTTTGTACTGGTGTGAGCACAAACTAATCTGGTCTAAATATTTCACCAGAGGCCTCTCTTGTTCCGGGAAGATAATGTAACAGCTCTGATGATATGAAGGGGGGGGCAGCAAAAACAGTTGAATGTTAATCGCCCGTTATCATCGAGGTTCACGCTTCCTCTTTGGCTAGCTGGCAGAGTGGGACAGCGGTGTCATATCGGTTCAGCATTCAACCACAAACACAATATTCACATCTCCACAAGAAGCTTGGCAGTTACTGTCGGCAGGCTGAACTCACATCGAAAGCCAGAAATGATGAGGTCCAGACGGTGCCTGTCTGTCCGTTACTGCTGCACCGTTAGCGGATGTGTCACAGGAGCTAGCCGCCTGTCAGTCAACAAACCACACGCTAGAAGTTCCCCGGCTTTGCAAAGCGAACAAACTCACCTGAAATAGGAGGTCAACGGCGGTCACAAGTGGCCCGAGGCTTGTGAACGTCTCTGCCCAATCTGCTTCACATGCAGGAAGGGAGGCTGGGCTTCGCTTCGCTGTGGAGGGCTCAATGAACTCACCTCTCCCGCCTCCTCAACACCCCGGGCTCCGCTAACTGCCGACAGCCGACCCCTTTAGAAACTTTCCTCCCCGGATATCAGATATTTTAGAGCAGCTAACGCAAAGGCTGAAGCTTCGTAATAACATGACCCTCATCAGCTCCAGCCTTCTCCTCCTCTTGCGCTGCACGTTGACATTTTCCTCCACGCCCACACACACATACACACACGTTAGAACGCGCGCGCTACGTCATCCGCTCCTGTGCATTTCATCCACATGACTGAATTATTAAATAAATAAATGAAACGATTCCAGTGCCGTGAACATATGCATGTGTGTGTGTGTGTGTGTGTTTGGGAGGAGGGCGGCGTCGCCGGTAGCGTGATAGTAGCGCGACACCTGACTGCGTGTTCAAGAATGACACCGCGCGCGGTAATTGCGTGGACTTGTACGTCCATGCGCAGCCGGTGTTCAGGAGCCAGACGCAGGGTGGTGTCGGGAACGTGCAGTGTCCTGTACAAACTGCCTCTACTTTGTCTTTATAAGGCGGATGTGACTCGTGCGCTTTAATCCTGGGAACTGATTTACAAACACGATCATTTATGTGCCTGTATGCTCCAAGAAATAATAATAACATGACTCCTGCACTTTTTGAACAGGATGTGGTTCAGCTATAAGATCTGTGATCTTATAACAACCGCAATTACCACACTCAACACATTAATGGCAACGCCTAACCTTTGATTTTATGTACTCATGTTCCTTTCACATTTGCTGAAAGCACGTTAGCCACGTTTAAAACATCTCATTCTGCTAAATTACTTGCGGGCCGGTCCACGTAGCACGTGAGATCCAGCCACATGTGCAACCAGCACTTCTAAATACAGGAAGGTTTAATTGGAATGTGCTAAGTGATGCATCTTGGGGGGAGGGGGTGACCTTAATTAATTATTTAAAAAATATTGTTATTTATATTTGATTGTTGAGTTAGCGAATTTATTTCCTTTGTTAAACTACTGTTCAGTTAAGGTGACTATTGAAATATTGAAAATAAGCTCGATAGATTATTGGTGTTTGTTTCTCCTCTGTTTCAAAGTTGGTCTGATCAGCCTGCACCAAAGTTCCCCTTTGCTCTGTTTGGTAAGATTTTGGTCAGTTTGAGCAGTTAGTCTGTTACATAATTACCCTGTGTTGTCATTACAACTTGAATTTAGTCTTTATCTGACCTCTTTTTAAAGTCCCCTGTTATTTTACTGATATATATAAATAAAATTTGTACTTGATTGAGTTATTAAAGCTTTTCAGATAAAGATGATTTTTTCACTATTTCTTATTATTTGACCAGGTGTTTAATGAAAATACAAACATGGACAGTGATACAATGTTCATATTTTTTATAATTTTCATACCACTAGTGTTTGAAATCAAGTAATCAAGATGTTTTTTAACCTTTAATCAGAGCCTTAACAAAAAAAAAATACTTTAGCTGCCAGTACTGACATTTTTTTTCCATTTCACCGGCTCAAAAGCACAATTGATGAGAACCATTGACCAACAGACATTTTTACAACAATGGGTTGCCTGTTTCTTTGGTATTTCATGACAAATTAGGGTGATAAGAGCTCAAGAGTTGGTTCCAAGTGTTAAATATTAAAGTGGTTGCTGGTAAATGGGGACTTTCATGGACCAAAGAGGTGTAGATGCATGTGTGAATGCAGTGGGAGGGGAAAAAAGATCTATTTGACGTTTTTGATTTTTTTTTAAAAAGAAAGAATGCTTTGTTAAGCTCAACAAAACCCCAAAAATCCAACTAAAGTTGATGACAACCTCATGAGTTGTGGATTTATAAAAAGAAAACAGTCCACTCTTCAATCACATCTTGACTTACTGACGTGACTCTATTCAAAGTTTCCATTGCACAGCCCAAACATCTGAGCTTAATACCACACACAGACTCAACGTGCATTTCTTTAACGTTTCATCATGTTAGCAAAGTTATAGTATTGCATTAATGGTTGAGCCAGAGGCTCAATTTAATTTATACTTTTTAATTTGTAAATTGAAATTCTGCCAAGATAAATATCAAAGTTTTTACTTGGAGCCTGTGTTTGTGTTTTGTATTGTGAACGACAGGATTATCAAGAGCTTTCAACGGGAGTGTGTGTGATATTTTCCCTTCATTAGTTATCAGAATGAATTCATTTCAAATATTTGCTTATTGGGACATTAGTCTACGCCAGATAATAAGGAATACACTTAAAAAATAGAAAAATTAATAATATTTTCAGATTCATTATCCTTTACATCTTTATAAGGCCAAAGTTGAGTATTACTGTCTTCTTATGTGTTTCCAAGTTTATTTTCTTACTTTTTAACACACTTTTTCAGATTAATATCCTTTCATCATTTCACCTTATGACCGCCAAAATCCTTTTGCAATCAGTTTAAGTGTTTTATTGATGCCTCTGAATCGTCCTTTGTGCTTGTTTTGTATTATGTGTTAACTATTAATTATAAATTTGATGGTGTTGATAATTTTCAGTATATTTCATTTAAAACCTACTGTGCTTCTTACCGTGCTTCATTGTATGAACTAAATAACCTTATCATACAACCTCAGTGTGTTCAATAGTGTTAGTGTGATGTTCTAAATGAAGTAAATACATATGTGTATGGGTATATTTCTTTTATTCTAGGACAATATGACTTGTCAGATCACAAAAGTAGGTGAAATACTCTGATATTATGACAGTGGCGTGAGTGTGACCCAGTTTCTAGAGACTGCATTACTTATGCACAGCTGCCTGTCTCTGCCTCTCCACACTGTGTCTGCCTGTCGGCCATTCACCAGCAGGGCCACATACATGCATGCTCACAGTTTTCTGTGGCAGCAACATATGCGGCCCATTATTTCAAGGCACAGGAAGTGGAAGAGGCAAAACACACAGTCTGTAAGGAGTTTTAATTGTGTACATTAGTCTTTGCCTGTGTCGTGACCTATTCCGAGCTGTCACGGATCATATTTGCATGTACAGGACATTTTAGGGTGAGATAATGCATGCAAAGCAGATAGGGTGAGTTTGGGGTATAAGGCTGCACTGCTGTCATGCTCCTGCTCAGGCAAGCAGACACACAGATGGAGTGATTAAAATCAAAAGAAACAGCAACAAAAAATATTGAAATAATTGTGTGTTTGGTTTTATTTTGGTGAAGCATTGTGCAAATGCATGTGAGAGAACTGTAACGATTGTTTCTGTGAATTGATTTGCCTGAGGTACTTTTTTTTTTTTTTTTTTTTTAGCCAGCATTATATTTTTTTAGTCTGTTTTTGTACAGTGCCCACTCTGAAAAAACAACAGGAGTAGAGTTCACAAAAACAGGATAAAGGAAACTTTTCCTTTTGACGTCAATCTAACCTTGTGATTGGGTCTTGTGAGTTCTCATCCTCAGATAAAGGACCAATTTGAGGTGTTATTATATTCGGGTGATATAATTGGTGATAATTAAAGTGTCAAAGTGATGGTAGATTAAGGTTAAAAACACACTGTAAGCTGGTCTTGTGCCTTGACTAGAAGACAAACTGCACTGCCACAGATGTAAAGGTTTTCTCTAGTTAGTTTGTAAACTAACTAAATGTTAAATCAGCTTAATTTACATTTCTTTTGTCTGGTTATGAGAAACATGGTAAAGTGGGGAGTCACCGCTTTTATTAACTTAACATAATCATCTTAGGTTCTCGGCATATCCCTGAGAGCTGTCCATAATAAGCTTAACATATTCATGACTGTGTGCAGATTAAACTTTTAGAGATGGCTCTTAGTATTCAGGGGAGCCCTGAGAATCAGATGAGGAATATATCAAACTACTTAGTTGTTTATGCAGGTTTTTATGGAAACACACAGGCAGTCACATGACTGGTGAAACATTCACCTTTTAGTCCATGTCTGCAGCCATCCACTAAACTGACCTATTTAACACAATGTAAACTCGAGCCTCCAGTGCTCATGCTGACGTAACACTTTCATATGAAGGTAATTAGGATTCCCAGGCATGACTCACTGCTGTTAGTCACTAAAAATCAGAGCCTGATGTTCCATGTCTATTTCCAAAACCTTCATTCAGATTATGAATGAATGACTTCATCGGTCTTTAAGGCGTTTTCACCTGTTAAAGCACTTTCGAAGAAAGTAAAGGAGATTTTTCTCTACGTTGACCATTTAGCCAAAATACGATATGTTTAATGGAAAAACTGCTTTCAAAAGCACTCAGATGTTCCACTAGAAAGCTCTATTTAAAAGCTCAAGAAATACAGTGTGCCATTATAGCCACATTACGGGGAGTGTGAGTCAGCCACAGCAGTTATTGTGTTGTATTAGCATTGTTTTTGGGGTGGAAAAAAGTTTAAACAGTGTGTTGCATAACTTTTCAGTTTGTAATTGAACCTCTGATATTAAGATAGAAATCTTACTTTAGAGCTTGTATTTATGCTATGCACTGTGAATTACTGCATCTAAAATCACATTAAATTCTGTACGAGTATTGTGGCGTTTTCATCTATTGAGACAAAGCACGTAATATCAAGATCAACGACCAAGAGCTAAACAGTTACAACTAAAGCTTGTTTCCATGCAATTATTTCTGCTGTCATTGTGTAAGTGCTGTGTTTTCCTCCACCCTTGTTTCTCTCAAGGCTCAAAACTGCCAGATCAATATGTGAGTTCTGCCTGAAGCTGAGAATTAATCCATGGGAGGGAGTTGAGTTTTCCACATTTAAAAAGCCTTTTGGAATTTCCAGTGATTTAAGCACGTTGAGACTTTTTGGAGTTATATTAATCCAAGTGGTTCGTGTTTCAAGATATTTAGACAGTGGCCCTGTATGAGAGTTGGATTACTTCCTTTTAATCCTCAATGTAAAGCGGATTGCAGGACAACATGTTGCTTGCCTGTGATGTCGTTTATATATTTCTTATCAACAAATGCTAAAGACTATGTGCTTTACAAAAATGTTCCTTGGGTCTTGTATTTGACCAAAGTATCAGCTGGATGCAGTGCACCCAGTACAGCAGCCCATTTCTCTACAGAGAGCAACTTCAAAGGTCAAAACAGTGACTGGGCTGCACTTGAGTTAGAAATACTCACCTTCACTCCAGTCAGTGTCCGTTCTCATATAACCCTTCTGGTTGCTATGGTTACAGACCATACCTCATCTCCTCCTCCTCCTCCTCCTTCTCCTCAGATCTCTCTTTCTGTGAGAGATATTGGGTTTACAGGGGGACTCTGTAGGCGAAGCTTCTATTTTACATACAGAGACCTGTTACCTAGAGACAGAGGAGGCGATTCAAGTGCATCCTGGACAAAATCTCTCAGTGCCATGTTGTGTCATGTAACCGTTTCCAATCACTGCAGCTGCATGAGAAAGTTTACCAGACAGGAAACATGATGGGGAGTCTCCATTGCTTGAGTCTTGAGTCATTACTTCCTGGAGGGTATACACTGAAAGTGAGAGAGAAAGCAAGCAGACTGGAGTTATTAAGAACAGCCTGTTTCAGTGTTCAATTACCTCAGTAATTACCACATTTTAAAAACCCACAACTGTTGACTGTGACCGTCTCAGGCACGGGCAGTGCAGTCCTGACAAATCTGCAAAGGGGATTTGCATAATCAAAAGATCTGGACTCATAACAAGCTAAATAATACAAATAACTATCCAGAGCTGATTTGCTTAGTTTAGGAGAGACACATCTCTGAGTGCATGTGTGTCTAAGCCCATTTAAAAGACAGATTTCCTGATGTATGCAGATTGCAGGTGTGCATGTGGGAGACCAAAAGCACTGTAAGGGTCCTGATTATCCTCTCAACTGGATTGTGTTAATCTACTAATCGAGAACCATTTACATAACTGCTTTAGTGCAACTGCAGTTAAGCAATTACTGCCCTCATTTCCATCTTTTCCCACAGTGTGCTATCTACTCTTGAACTTTCTACACTTGAACTTTAATCTCACTCTTTCCCCCCCGGTTTCCCATTTTTTTTAACTTCTTTTGTTTTTTTGCCTTCTTTCTTTCTTTCTTTTTTTTTTACTAAGTGCCCTTCCTCCGAGCATAGTCTGAACTGAATGTTTTCCTTTTCTTGTCTGTTACTGAGACTCTTGCAGATCTTATAGTCTGATCTCAATCAACACATTATTTTCACAGAATGAAACCTGCAAGATGTTTATTCCATTCCATTCATATATTTAGTGGTATGTTGTCACACTTTTTTTAAAAAAATCTATTGTGTTACCTTGTAAATAGCTTCAACTTGTCTGTACTCTGTGTGTGGATTTTAATCTGTGGAGTCTGGATAAAATGATTACACATGCTTGTGGGAGAAAGACTCTAAAGTAAACCTGATTGCTTAATTGTTTGGCGTAAGACCTTACACTGGTATTTCTTAAATTTGACTTACAGTAAATTACACTATTTTTGTAAATTTCCACAATCAATTTGACAGTCCTAGTTTTGCATCTTTCCCTCATTACAGCATCATTCTTTATCATATCATAATAGTGATACATAATAAACAAAGGATTTAATCTTTGCTATACGGAGAAAGAGCAGGGGAAGGATTATGTTTCTACTTAGAGTAAAAGTATTTAAATAAATACTAAAGAAAAGCACATTTTTTTTCTAATAATTTTTCGACAAAACAAATCCACTTCAATTATCAAAACCTATACATTTAATTATGACTATAGCTAAGTTTAATTTAGTTTTGTGCTGCCATCTGTTGGTACAAAATCAATATTGCGTTTTTGCGAGCATAAAAAATATACATCGATAAACGACTCATAAAAACAAATAGGAGAATTTAAAGGAACCTCGAGCTCCAAAATAGTAACTTGTTGTTAGACGTAGTCCGTTGAACTCATTTTTTTCTGTCCTCATGCTAAATGAATTCTAACAAATGTTCTCGATATATTAGTCGTTCGACAGTTGATTTCTCTTGACTTTAGGGTTATTTGAACTTCCTGCCACTGCAGCCAATCAAATCCTAATCAATAAAAACGCGCTTTCGGCGCTTTCCAATCAAATTGCGCAGAATGAAAAGTGGGCGTGGACGTGGAGTGGAGCAGCTGACAGACTTTCCGGCGCGTCATGTGTGTTTGGAGTTTGACCACAAAAAACAGAGGACGTACGGATTTCAGGGGGGGATGGAAGAATGAGTTGGGACTCTAAATAGTGAACAAATCGAGATATTCCCAGAAGCAATTTAATCTGGAGGGTTTAATTAAACTGGTGTTGTCACTGGAAAGGTAAGCCGACATTAGAAGTGTTGAATGTCAGCGGTCGTTAGCGTTAGCTCCTAAAGCACCGGTTATTTCAGCTAACGCCTCCTGCCACATCCAATTGCTGCTGTCTTTTTAATATCAAATGCAGTAGCCCTATATATAGAAATGGCACTGTGTGTATATAGCGTTGTTTTTGCCGCTAACTTTTATTAGGAGTGCTAAATTTAGTTTGGAAGTCCCCTTTATCGGCAAAGTTATTGTCATCGGAGCCCTGTCCTGCTTATCCAAGAGGGGCACCAGGACACTTGATTTGCAGTCATTGCACTTTTAGGATGTCACCTTCTCAATATAGCTACCCAGGGCTCGGTAAATAATATCTAAATTAGACTATAGACCTCGTAGCACACATCTGAACAAAA